TTTTGCAACATGCCATCGGCTACCATACTTTTAATTTATTTTTATTTGATTCCAAGTCCCTTGCAACGTGTCAATTTGTAAGCAGATCTGATTAAGTAAATGCGTGCCACATCAGCTACTGACGTGGTAGTGTGTTACCATTGCATTTTTCTCGATAAACCACTTTCATATTCCTCTTTTTTGGAAAGTAATTGTTCATGTTCGGTGTCTGCTTCGAATGAGCTTTATAAGCAAAACGAGATTGCTAAAAGAGAGTTCCTTTATCGGCATTTAAAAGGCGCTTATAGGGAAAAGTGCGCAAAAATCATAAACTTATTGTATGGCAGCCAATTCAGTCCTAACCTTTCAATTATGTCAATTTGGTCGTAAATCTATAATACGGCGGCCAATTTAATCATAAACATTTAATTATGCCAATTTAGTCCTAAACCTTTTGACGATCAAATTTAGTCTTAAACCTTTTAATTAGTCATGGCCACAGTTCGGAACCGACCGGTTCCGGTTCGGAACCAGCGGTTCCGGTTCGTGGCCAAGTATGAACCGGAACCGGACGGTTCCGTGCCGGTTCCGGTTCCGGGCTAGTTCATAATTTTTGTTTTCTGTTTTTTTTCTTTTTATTTTTCTTTTCCTTTTCTTTTTTTTTTCTTTTCTTCCTCCGCCGGCCATAGCCGGGGCCGGCGGAGGTCGCCGGCGTCGGGCGAGGGCGGCCCTCGCCTTGGCTGGACGAGGCCGGCCTCGCCAGATCGGGCGAGGGCTCGACCTCGCCGGCGTCGGGCGAGGCTGACCTCGCCTGCAACCGGCGCGAGGCCGGCCTCGCCCGACGCCGGCGAGGCTCAACCTCGCCGGCAGGCGGCGAGGCCGGCCTCCCCGAGGCCGGCGAGGTCGAACCCTCGCCGGATCCGGCGAGGTTCGACCTCGCCGGCGCCGGACGAGGCCGACCTCGCCCAACCGGGCGAGGCCGGCCTCGCCCGACGCCGGCGAGGCTCGACCTCGCTTGCAACCGGGCGAGGCCGGCGAGGTCGAACCTCGCCGGATCTGCAGCTTCTTCTTTTTTTTTTTTTTTGAACTGGGCCCGGAACCGCAGGTTCCGGGCCGATTCCGGTTCCAAACCACGGGCCCGGTCAACGGGCCGGGCCCGGGTTTGACCGGGCCGGTTCCGGGCCGAAACCGGCCTGTGGCCATGACTAATTTTAATAAATTGCCAATGCAGTCATTCTGGCTAATTTTGACCGGAAATCGCTGACGTGGCAGTTTAACCAGTGTTGACTGTCTTACGTAGCGCAGTCAGCGTTGATGTGGATAATTTTTTTAAAATTTTTTAAAAAAATTTCTGATTTTTATTTTTATTTTTTATTCTTTTCTTTTCTTTTTTTATTTTCTTCTTCATTGTGCTGACAGGGCTGTCGACCACCGGCAAAGGGCCAATGAACTCCACTAGCCCCTGGGAGAGGGCCGCGAAGCCCTCGCCAAGTCCTCATGGGGCACAACAACAGTGTCATGGCCCTCACTTGTGGCCGGCAAGGCCCTTGTGGCCCTCGCTTGTGGCTGGCAGGGGCTTCACGGCCCTCGTCCAGGGGCTGGTGGAGGTCACTGGCCCTTTACCAGTGACCATATTTCAGCAGCAATCTCTCTTAATACAAGGATATGTTGTGTCTGTTCTTCATGGGATAGTGCTTTGACGTGCGTAGATAATAGCTGTAATTTGTGAGAATAATAGTTGTCATGCGATTCTTATTTCTTGAATGAAGTCAGTATTAACTTGTGCGCTTTCTCTTATTTTTCCTGTTCTCTGAATATTTCATATCTATGCAGGTTTTTGTCTATTTTTTCTTGTTAAATTTTCTCTCCTTGGACTCCCTTGAAATAATGAAACATAATGAGGTTTGTGGTCACGGATAATTATATAGATAGACATTACTTGACAACACCATATCTTCTCATAAGTAAAAGTTACTTTTAGTGATTTACGAAAAAAAGAGAGTAAAACGAATCCTTGATGGGATGTGATTAAGATGCTAGGGCCTTTCTTCACAAAAAGAGAGGTTCAAAGTTCGACCCGTTTTCTCCGATTCTTTGGGTCATCTTCAAGGGTCACGGACCAGTGCGACTCCATAACTATCCGATGTGGTCAGGATGGAAGTTGTCACACCCGTTAGGAATTAATCGGTTCATCAAACGATATTTTAAACAATTGATGTTAAACAATAAATGCATGCTAAAATACCGTCGATTTTCCGCTAAATAATTCGACTTCAAATGGTGTCAGGCCACATCTTCCAATATCTCTCATATTCTTTGACATTGACCCCGTCATCTTATCATTGCACATAGCATTGCTATTTGCTATCTAGTTATGCAATAGCGAAAGTGCTCTGTATGGTAAACGTTTGCAAACTAATCAGTTTAAGGCTCAATCTTTGAGTTTATAATTAGGGTTCAGCAAACCTTAATAAAGTGATGATAGTGAATGACCAACTAGGTGACCCACATAGTGCACAACTTATGTTACATGACTTCTTGCTAAACTAGAGAGACCTCACACGACGTTATGAGCAACGCTTCATAGATGGAGTGACCAAATTTTTCGGGCATGATCGTCTAAACACGAGCGATGATATGTCCGAAATTAACGACTAAAGTGCTAAAAATGTGATTACTCTAAACTTGGCTAAATTTTCAACTGCTTTGAAATGGTCATTGCTCCGCAAAATCCCAATCATCATATAAAAGAAAAGGAAAAGGCAAAATTGGATAGCCCTTCACACTTTCCTGGTTAGTGATTCTTGAATTATTATAGCCAGGGTTTGACAGGCTCTTGAGGTGGGGACTTTGAGGAGGTTTCTTGGATGATTCCATTTGCTTTATCTTTGTCAATTGTTCAAAACAAAATTGGCTAGTGATTATTAGGGCATGCCACTCTCTTTTGCTTGGTCCTCTTGAATTGAAGCTTCCACTCCTCTTGTGGTCCAATTACTTTTCTGGTTTATTTCTCTTGAAAACTTTATTTTGCAAGCAGATCAAGAGAGAAAAAGAAATTCTATTTGTTGAAGATTTTTAAGCCCTTGTGATCATTGCCACCTCTAGTCATCTGTCTAGCTAGCTCACTAGAATTAATGCTTTAAGGCCATGTCCATTTTTTTTTTATGAAACATTAGGATTAATAAAACTAATCCTCAATTGACACATCATGGAAGCTGGCCATGGGCAGGACGAAAGCGCAGACCGTTTTCTCTTCCTTCACTGTTCATCGTCGCTGTGGCCACAGCTTCATCAGCCCTCAGCCACAGCTTCTTCAAAAAATTGTCTTTGAAAAAACAAAACACAAAAGGAGAAAACTTGACATACTGGTTTTGAAGTTCAGGAGAGGGCTTGGACTTATTCCAGAAAAAGGCTCTAGTCGGGAGCTTTGCGAATCTCGTCCATAGCGTCTCTCAACATGTGGCAATACATAGCTTCACAGCTCTAGATGAGACGGCGGAGGGTTATGGGTGAAGCGAAGGAGACAATGAATAACTTCATCATTGTCCTTCAACCTGTGACCAAAGTGACGCAAATGATAACTTCGGATTTCGAGCTAAGAAGACGATGAACAATGCTTTAAATCCAAGTCAGCAAGTGACGTATACTTATTTATGACGTGGAATTGCCACTTTGGACAGCCAATGATTTCAAATTAACGATTCAAGTGAAAATTGGGATTCAAGTGAAAATTGGTAATTTTTTTATGAGATAAAAAAAATTAGGGTCAAAATTGACACTAAACCTAAAAGTCGTGCTTTTTTAGGGAATTAGACCCATAATAAAAAATGAAAAGCCAAGAAGGCCAGTTTGTAAAAATCAAAATGTTTGGAAAAGAGCGGAATCTAATCGTCGGATGCGGGCCACGTGGCAAAACTATATACGTGCCTTATTACGTGGTAACAAGCGCTACCAGGAACATTCTCTCTACCCTAACTTTAAAAATAGGCAAATAATTGAACAAAAGCGCATGAACTTTATCATTATCAATGTCTTTAAAATATTTGTAATATACCATTTGAGATCCTTGATTCATATTTGAAATTTAAACACGATAAGAGGTGAAAATTTCGTGATGACAAATTAATAAGTTAATACTTATTGGTCAGGGTCACGTACAAAACTATGACAAATGTGTTGCCACTTGGCAACAATAAAAGCCAAATCAAGTGCCAACATTCTCTCAGCAATAAAGAACTTAATAGTACGTTTTCTTATTTTCATGATTAGTTTGGTAATGTTGCAAAGACATTTTTTGTTTGTCAATTAAATGATGTGGCAACATCATAAAGTTTTCAAATTAGCCAACTATTAAATGTTTCTAACCCAAAAATTTCACTTCATCACTTCAAAATTTCTCATTCATTTAGCAAACACATTTTAGCGTTGTACCATTTATCTTTTAAAGCAATGCTAGAGGTATACCGGATGAATATGATAAATTCTTTAGTAAATAATACTACATTGTACATGTGAGTTTCTGATTTATCACTTGATCAATGTGAGGATATTAAGATTGATCTATAAAATTGATATAAAAAGTGATTTAGCCGACCACGAGTGGGCAGTCAAGCAAATGTATCAAATTTTTTTTTTGGTCGGAAGGAAATGTATCATCTTCAACATCAGATAATTACAATTTATCACATCAGCTAGTATACCATCTTTGTTACTCAGAATTAGTAAAGACAGCATGGCCCTTGTCAATTATAGTGCATTCAATATCATTGTTTCATGACAATCAACAGTTTGGCTAGAGTCTTTTGTTTGAAAAGCAGGATACACTAAAAGTCTTAACAATTTGCAAATGTATTGCACGTCAATTTCACCAACTGTATGAAATCACTTAATTGTACACTTTATATCATATTTATTCTATTATACACCAATGTTTCAAGCCAAAATGCTGGACATGTAAAATAAACAAAGATACAGGTCAAACACGAATAATTCTTCACGAGAGAAAACAGAGTACACAAGTATTAGAAGGGAGAAGTTAGTATATAGATTTAGTTTATATATATCAGCGTCACCGTAAATATTGATTACGCGAGTCGCTCAAACTGAGTTTATGTAATAATTTTTCTTTTGGGAGGAAAAACCCATTAAAAATTGAGGAGATGATCATGTTCCACGTGTCATCGACCCAAAACCTCTCGCGATCTCGTGCCGGCTGCCGCCACCGTTAGCCCAGCATCCGAGCAAGCCATGCTTGTAGGGCAAGGTGGTCCTCCTCTTCATCTCCTCCGAAGCTGCTTTCTTCATCCTGTAATGCAACTCGTGAGTCGACTCAGTAGCTCTATGACTCGAACTCGACCCTGGACGACCCACGATCTCTCCCGGCTTGAAACCAGGGGAGTACTTCCTGAACGGGTCCTTGCTCGTGCCCCGGCCTTCTGATGCGCTTCGAAACAATAACAGATCTTTGAAACTCCATTTCCTCCTATCACCCTTTGAGAACGATATCAGAGACGAAAAGTAGTTGGAGGAAGAAGAAAAAGAAGGAGACGGTGACGACAACGACGGCGACGAATTCTTGTGGATGTTCAGTACTGAATTCTCCTCATCCTCATCATCTCGCTCGAGCAAAATGTCGGATATTCTCAGGGGCGAGAGAGATCTTCTCCCCTTACGAGCGAAACTTGGAGAAGAGGAAGAAGATGATGATGGTCGCACGTCTCTCTCTCTACCGCGCTCTCTCCCTTTTTCTTGATAAACTGGCGTATCAAAATATTCGACTCGACTAATCTGGACAGGTTCAAGTAATTTGCCCCCACCACGTGCAGTAGGTAAGACTCCACCAACGTCGCCGTCTGACTCGGCCGATGACAGAGGAGGTGATGATTTCAAGGGTCTGATTTTGCCGCCATGGAAGATCTCATCGGCAGACACGGCGGAACTCTCGCTTAAACACCCGCTGAAATCGAACACGAAGTCTTTGCCGTCATCGTCTTCAATGACACAACCATCCTCTTTCTTTGCATGGACAATCATGGGCAGGGCGTTTTCCCATGCAAAGGCTATGGAGAACCGCGGGTCGTCATGCCACGAACACTCATCTTTGTCCTCATCCGAGATGAGGGAGATCTCGTGGAATTCTTCGGGCAGGAGAAGATCGAAATCGGAGCGACTAGGCGGAGTTGTCGGAGGAACTGTGGATGGATTGAAGAAGTTGCAGAACGCTCGAGGGCTTGAAGGAGCGGTGATGTATGGAGTGGAGGTTGCGCTGTCGAAGCTCAGGTCCATGGAGGGCACTGCCGAGACAACCTCCATGACTGGATCTTCTGAACGCAGAGACTCCTTAGAATTGAGAGGAGATTAAGAGATCTTGGGATATGTAGAGGGTGTAAAGCTCATGATTCATATGTGTGCGTAGTAATGATTAGTATGGCCGCCGATTAACTTTTGTAAGCTGGAGCAGTACGGTATCATAGTAAAGAATTTTTTAATTAACATAAGAAAAGGACGATTAGGTTAATCATAATTTCCTTTTCTATTACATGATTCTGTTTAGACTAGGATTTTGGTTTTTATGGGATGGAGTGTGTTTGTATATACACACACACACACACACACACACACATATATATATATATATATATATATATAGTGTTTAATTTCCGTTCCATTCCGTCGTCGGATGATTCATGGGAATCCAAGTTTATTAAATCACTCGCGCTATGATCATCTAATTCTTAAGCGTTTCATCCCGTTTCATTCTGTCATCAGACAAAATTGACTATTTGTTTCTCGGTAAGATGTGTTCTAGATATTTCGACCAAAAAAAAAAAGGATGTGTTCTAGATATGAATTTTCAAGGTAAGAGATTGAGGGTTGTCTTGGAAATAAAGTCAGATATTGTGTTCTAGATCGACATCGATTACAAGGACAATAGCTTTATTCAGGGGCCATAGGAGTCGCGTTGTCCTTACAATAGGTGAAATGGCATAAAGGGCAAGTCGAAAAGATTAGTAACACTGTAAAATAAAACGGAAAATGACATAAATGATCCCTGAATTTGACTCAATATGTAATGTGATCCCCAAACTTTTAAATTGTTCAATGTGGCCCCTAAATTTTTGGTACATGTTCAATTTAGTACATCAACTATATGAAAATATTTCAATATTGTCCTTGAACTTGAGTTAATGGAAGGAAAACATAGAAAATTTTCATAATTGAACATGTACCAATAGTCCAGAGATCACATTGAACATTGGGGTAAAGTTCAAAGACCACACTACATTGCACATTTGGTCAAAATTGAGAGATTATTTATTTCATTATCTCTACAATAAATAATCGAGCATGGTAGTTTTGAATCATTTGTTTGCGATGGTTCATATAAGTATATGATAGGATTTCCTTTGATTTACGATGAGTCTATGGTTTCTAAAATCGATTGGGTTATTGTCGGCAATTGTAGTTTATGTTCTGCCTGAACATAAACCTATTACACTGTATCCTACCTAGGGGTATGGAACCGGACCGGGTTCACCCGGGAGCTGGACCAAATTATCCAAAAAACATATTCGAGAATCAGTTCCTGTTTGAACCGATCCAGGAACTGGTTCCATTTTTTGGGAACCGGTCTAGTTCCCGGTTCAAGTGAAGATCCACCCAAGAACCAGACTGACTGGACCAGTTTTGGAACCGGTTTTTAGCTTGTGTAAAAAAAAAAAAATCCTAGATCATACTATTACTACATTTTAAATTGTTGCTTTTGATGGATAATAATTTCTATTGCTCATCTTAGGAAATATTGCTTTTGGTGGATAGTGATTTTTATTATTCATCTTTTAGTTTGAATCGTTTAATTACTACTCATATTATTTTGCTAGAAAAAATAAAACTAGAAAAAGGAACAAAAGAAAAACAGGTTATCAGGTAGACCTTGCAACCGGACTGGAAAAATAGGGTAGGTTCCAAAAGAGGTTTCAAGGCAAAAAGAATAGGTTCCAGGTTTCAAAAACTAGAAACTGGTTATAACAGGGTAGGTTCCAGATTTCACCTACCCACCCTAGAACCGATCACCCCTAATCTTACCAAGTTGAATTTCTTTCTCTAAAAGAAAATTAAAACCATAGGAGATGATGTTGAGATCGGCCGCCATCGCACGGTGGCGCTCGTCGGCCAAGAACTAGTCTATGGTTAACTTGCATTCTCTGTTTCCAATCGAACCTTTGACTCTGAGACTTTGAATCCTCTATATTCTCCTTTTAAGGATGTGTTTGCTTCGCGAAAAATAAATGATTTAGAAAACATTTACTTAAAAATCATCATTTGTATCGCTTACAAAAATGAGTGAATGGAAAACAATTTCATCATCCAGGAAAATATTTAGACAAAAATTGTTATCGATAATGAAAAACGTTCTTCATCTTACTAATTATTTCGAGTGATAGAAACAATCATTTTTAGGTTAATTTTTTTCAAATCATTCATTTTTCACGTGAAATTTTAAAAGCTTGTGTTTTTGCTATGAAGATTAAAGTTCAGGGGACGAATAAGCTGCGGTCCACGTTTATTTGATTTCTTTTCCAATCAAGCTTGTGCGTTTTGCTGAGTTACAACTTTTAATTTTCTTGCTTACCAACTTTTTTAAAGTCTACTATCTCTTTCAGAAATTACCAATCTCAACTAGAGTGAGTAACAATTTTTCGCCGATGAAGTTACCGACCAACTTTGCATTACCCGCAGTTTATTTAATTTTATTTCAAATCACCAACATCTCTTATATCTAACCAAGCAAACAGTTGTCTCACACTTTTATCAACTCTTATTAACCATTCTTATGAACGTTGTTTTAAACTTAAAAACTTTCATACGAACATTACCAACCTTTATGTGTGATCTACCACATTTTTTTTGTTAAGTTACCAATTAATTTGCTTCCCTACGTATATTTAACTTTTCTTTATATATCTAGTAACTTGTTTTAGCGAGATACCATTTTTATTTATCTTGCAATTCGAAGCCGCTATTATTGCTGCGGATCGCGGCGATAAGCAACGGGGACCAGCTAAGTTCTGTTTGTTCCAACATTAAACTTTTTCCCTTTTTTTTTTTCGAAAGGTTAATTTAGCCTTTTTTTATTTCGGAAAATTACCAAATAATAATAATTTAAAAGAAAAAAAAGACAATAGGATACACGTCTTTACAATCATATGCATTTCCTCAATCATCAAAGCAGCTAATGATTATGGCATGAAGCCCGGGTTCACTTCCCCTTGTGGGGATTCAACTTTTCTCCATAATGGTCCCAAGCCACTTTATATTTCTCTCACTCTTTGATATTTGAAAACTGCCTTTATTCACTTTACGAGCAGATTGAAAAACAGCCGAGATGGGTGGGGATATACTTCTTTTTTTTCGTCGGCGATGTATCATCAGTCGTTGCAATCATTGACATATTCCCCAGAATTCATATTAAGCTAGTTGTCTTTTGGGTAATGCATTTGATACTTGAAAAAGAAGAATGTGAGCTTCCTTTTCCGTGGAATTTGGCTTTCAGTCACGCGCCCTCCTTCATTAATCTAATGAAATTCTCACCTTTAGCGGTACTTTGCGATCTGAATCGTGAAATTTTATAGTATGATCTCTTTTTTTGGTCATATATATGGTATGCTTCTTTGGATACGCGGTTTCATGCGTAAATGACGTTTGACACTAGCAAGCTTGTTTGTTAGCGAAGGCTCACCACCAAGCTGCACCGGAAGAAGCACGGCAAAGGCCTCTCTTCGGCCACTGGCCCGTTGTTAGGGTAATTTACCCTATTGCCGTTGGAAAGCAGAAGTGATCAAGGAGGACCTAGCCCTCGGATTGGGCCAAATTATAGCTTAGGCCCATCCATGAGCAAAAAATGTCTGATTCAATCCGGGAACAGACCAAACCGGCCTGGACCACCGATTCAAGACAGAACATGTTCGGTTACAGGGAGAACCTATTTAATACCAATTCCGCAAAACTTAGAACCAGAGTAGGACCAGTTCAGTCCTTGGTTATAAGGTCGGACCATCGGTTCTACCCAAGAACCAGTTCACTTCTTGGGTTGAACCGATTCTAAACTGGTTTTGAAGCTTTTTTTATTAAAAAAAATACTTTTGCACCAATAAAAAATCGAACCATAGTCTTCAATATGAATAAACAAAAACAGAATCACTTGACCATAATGAGTTTATATAGTGAAATGATGCATTTTTTATATTCAATTATAAGAATTCGATTTATGGGCTAGTTCCCGGTATCAATTAGCTCAGCTCCAAATTCCAATCTATTGGAACCAAGAGTCACAGGGTGGTGTGACGTCCCAGAACGTCACGCATGATACGTGTCCTTTCTAATTTTATCTTTTAAATTATTAATGGCATGTGGAAGTACAACAAAATTTTACACCATCCCCAACAAGAAATCGTACGAGTTTAATAATATACAAATGCTTCTTTATATTAACATTTAGTTACCAACTTGTTACAACATTAAGCAAAACCCAACAAAATACATAACCATGGGAAGAAGGTCGGGTCAACTAGCGACACTACTCCACTCTAACCCAAAAGCGTTACTAAACATTAATCAAGCCACCATCCATCTCATCTCAAGGGTTGATGGCCTTCTGCATCATCTTGTCCCCTCTATTGTCATGTCCAATGGGAAGCATCCTACAAATTTGAAAAATAAGAAGTGAGCCAAAGTCTAGTAAATGAAATCTCTAGGTTTAAGATAGAAGATCACCTTGCCACTCAACATGAGAACAAACAAACAATGTGAGTTCAAGACAATACAAAATAATCATGATTGACTAGTGCATGAATAAATGTATTATCTCTCTTATTATATGCTAATGAAACCATTAACAACATTGCATAAGATCAATCACTTATATGCAAGCAAATGGCATATTATTCCATTATGCACAAATATCACATAGTAGATCACTAGTGCACATGTGAGTGCCTGCTTGTCACTAGCTAGGATCATCTCGATTAACGAGGTATCGTCATCACCGGCTCATGGGGAAAGGAATCATACAGACCCTTTGCCACGCCTTAACTTATTCATCACAGGTGTCCTCTACATTAGCGCGGATAAATACACCACTATACATCCGCATGATGTTGGTTATCTAACATCATACCATGACTACAATGATGTGGGCTAGCAAGAATTACCTAGAGGGGGGTAAATAGATGATTCTATAAAATCTGACAAATTTAAAGTGGAATTAAAAGGTCAAGAACTGAGTATGAACTTATAGTGTAAAGTTCAGATTCTATACAAACTTCAAAAGCAGTTTAGTAAGTGTGAAACAGAATATAATATGCAGAAGGAGTTTTAGGATTAAGAAAATTGGCA